ATTCCAGAGAGGTGACTGGACAACCTGCCTCATGCAAATAGGAAGGAGTGGTGACCCCGGCTGTTCATATAGGGATCCTCACGGACGTATTTACCAGATGTTCAGCACCGCAGATTCACGGACATGCCTGGGGTTTACAGAGAGGTGTACTGAGACTCCAGAGATAGGATGATCGTCAGACAGCATGATTCCGTGACAAATGTAGTATGCATGACCAGCTTGGTCTAGCTATGGATTAGTTATGAGTTATGAAGAACCTTCTGAGTTTTTCATTTATCAGGATCGTATAGGGAAGATAAGCTACACTTTTTCTGATAAAACTGAAGGTCCATGGCGGCTGGCGCTATTCATTCCCTGAACTATGATTTGACCCATTCCAATTAAGTTCAAATATGCATGTTCTCAGTATATTAGAAAGGTTGTGATTTCAATCTCTCGGTGTTGTGCAAGCTGTAAACTGCATTGCCGGTGACCTACACGCATGGCTAGATTTATTGCAATCAGCATTCACCGTTAACCCTCGCCCGCACATGGGGGGGGGGGTGGTTGCCACCCCCCCAGGCAGTCTTTCTGCTCTGCACTCAACATTTTTAGAGCTAGAAGGCTGATTTTTCGTATAGCTGCTCGTCTATTCTTTCTTGATGTCCACTGAAAATTTCAAGTTTCTGTAATTTTTGGTTTCGGAGATATGACCTTGTTTTTCAGGTCATGTCATGACCCAAATCGCCAATTCTCAACATCTTGCGTTTGCCATGGGCCTTGTGAGCTTTTGACACCCTGATTTCGGCCTTTTTTGCTAGTCTTACCTCCCACCTATCATGGAACATGTTGTTCGACGATGTACAGGGGTCAAGGTCAGGGTCAAGGTCAACCTAGGTCATCTAAGATAATTGCGTTTTAGGCAAGCTGAATTTACTTTTTGTGAAGTTTTTTTGACTGCATTTTTGGTAAAAACTTCTCAGATCATGATTTCATGTGATATGGACCTAAAAACAATCGGTGCACACATCAGTATACACACATACACACACAGACATACAAACACATATAATTGACCTTGACCTAACTTGACCTGAAATGACCTCAGCAGCAAAATTCTGGTCGGATAGTGTGACAAAGAGGTTCTAGCTGGCTTGGCACCAGAAAACAGCATCGTCATCGGTATTTGATAAGCAGCGCACTTGATATCCAACGGTGACCCAAAACAGCAACATTTTTTAGTTTGACCTGACCTGGAAGGTCAACGACTGACCTGAGAAGGTAAAACTGGGTATCATTGGATTCGTCTCTTCCCAAAGAATCTTTTTGGTCTTTACTGCTAAGCTCTATCTCCAACAGGAACGAAATGGCGCGGGGGGGGTGGCAACCCCCCCCCCCCCCATGTGCGTTCTAGGATGGGAAAATGGCATGTGCGGGCGAGGGTTAACATTGGAATCGTGATAGTATGACACACTTGAATCGCAGAGATCGCAGTCGCAGTGGTAATGGTTGAATGCAAGGTCTTTGGTGGCTGGGCATAGATATGTGGAATTAGATTCATTCTACTCAAGATGCTACCAGCTGCGGGTCATTTTCACGTCATGAATGCATTACTTCTCGAATATCAAGCAGGCATTTAGGTAAACATGACATTCCTTACCACTGTAGCGTTCGATAAAAAAGCTAAAATTTAATGCTTGTGAAAAAATTTATTTTGTGGTTGCATGATTGTTTCATCGCTTGAAGTTTTGATAATGCACAATAAAAGTTATTTTGGCATCGCTTATCAGTCAGTTTGCCGCTTGTCCATTATTCAATGTTCCATAAAAAGGTATCCATGCTATATATTGGAACATCATAAGGATTCCAACACTTTTTTTATTCAGCCGCATTTATCCAAAGCGAAACCATCTCCTCTAAAAGTTTCCATCTCTGCCCACAAAACGCTGCAGAGAACCGTCACCGCATTCCGCCACCAGCAGCCTTCTCTAGCGACCAGAGAGGCCACTAAGGCACGTGTGCTGGTCAGATGAGATGTTTTGTGTCTCGGCGTGGTGTAAAGTGACACTGGTGCTGTTTTGTGAACAGGGTACGCCTTGGGGTACGCGTCTTGGTGAATCGCTGGGTGGGTGAATGTGTGAAATGTCCCTCAAGTCTCATAAAAGTAGCATATGGATTTTGGTAAAGACTCCTTTCTTTCATGGGCCAGCTAGAGCACTTGGGATGGCTAGAATGTGCTGTCATTTCATTTGCTATAATGGCTAAGTTCCGCTCAGACCCAGCGTGTGGAGACTGCAACTCCTCACAAGACCATAACACCAGTGACTGCATCTCGCGCACAGGAAACTAGCACCACCACACCACCATCATCCAGCCTCAAGCCGTTTACACTAAAAACACAGCGAGCTATCCAAACGAGACCACTAAACATGACAGTAAGTCGCAACTAGCCCGTGTTGACACGATAATGAGCCGAGATGAGTCCAGGTGACGAGAGAATAATGACAAGCGTAAATCTTCTTCTGGTCGTCAAACATGCATATGTGGTGAAATGATTTCTGAGAAGTTAAACGCTCTGAAGGAAAACATTGCTTGTTAACAATGTAGAGTGTAGGTTGATGTGTGTTTAGATGGATACACTAGGGTTACCCGCGTGCTCCGCAACGCGAAGAGGGGATTTTTTGACCCGTGGGTATTGGGTTGGTCTGTGTCGATTTGGTTGGTAGATATCCATTTCGTTCGATTGCTTTTTGACGGCCAAGCATTTTGTAAGAAAACAAAAAGATACATCGCATCGAGGTGCCCGTGTCGTATTATCATGCGTTCTACTTTAGAATGATTCGAAAACTGGCGTGAAGTCTTTTGAGGGCCATCGATGAATTTCGCTAAAAATGACAATGTAATGGTTTGGAACATTTACATTTTTAAGGATACTGTTGCTAATCATGCAAAAATGAAGAGTGAATATTGGACATAATTGAATGCTCTATCCAATGGTACCATATTCAATTGCCAAAGGTATCAGGTTATGCAGCAAACCCCGTGTGATTAATTAAGTGGCACAAAATTGACAAACACCATTTTCTCCTGTGATTTGCATCACCTTGATTTGGATCCATCAGCTTTTCACAATTTTTATATGAGAGGCGGTACCTTTCTCTTGCAAATAGGCGTTGATTCAACTCGCTCCATTTAACGGTCACCTAAAAATAAAATTAATTCCAAAATCCCTCAAAAACCGCAATTTTTCAAATAAAAGTGCCCTCTCCGGTGCACGTGGCGCGTGCTATCCTCTGCATTTCACACCATTCAATAGCCCGTTCAATTCTGTACACGATGCTGTTTTCCCCGTGCCGGTCGGACCCCTGGTCACCAAGATATTGCACGGGAACTGGACCCGTGTCGGCCAAAATTAGCCGTTTTCGCCCGATTTCGCACGCCGATTTATACATGTAAAGTCTATGACGCGAATTTGCACTTTTTGAGCACGCGCCACGCGCTCCCTATCAATCCGATCGAGCTGAGACCCCTCAAAGGCACGTCGCGCATCCTTGATCTATAAGTTGTGCAAATTTCACCGGGCTAGGTGCAACGGTCTGACCTGCAGTCCACGCAAAGCACCACCAAGTTGGGACCTCGGTAACGGACAGACGCACCCTCCTCAAATAGTAATATAGATAATACATATCTAATAGGCCAAACTAGAGCGTATCTGCAGAGATTCTTCAGGACGATTCAGGATGCAAGATACCATATCGCCCGTTTTTGCAAGTCTGAATTGTGACAAACGCAGTCAAGGATGTTTTTTTCTCGTTACGAAAACTTAGCCTACTCTTCATTTAGCCTTGTGCTCAATGTACATAGATCACAGATATCAAAAAGATATCTCTATTTGCACAAATTGTACAAGCAGCATAAAGGAGTGGAGCCCTCTGAACCTTCCTTGAGAATAGTAATGTAGACGGTTCATAGCAGCTTGCAAGAATTTACACGCCCCAAAAATAGCATAGACATAGTCCATAGACTTCTGTACCCGGCTATACATGCAGAAGTATGGCACAAAGTAAAAAGTTTGCACATTTCATACTTCCCATTAGTCACCGCCAACCGGTTTGTACGCACCATGCGTAGAGCTTCTGTCGTTGTAACCCTGACATAAATCAGATAACCACCAATGCCGCAGCTGCCATGATGTTGTTTTTGTGGTGCTCCCAGCACCTACATACGACAAGACAAAAACACACGGCGTAGTCTACAGTCTCAGCCCCACAAAGCGATGCCGCTCTTCGTCATTTAACAGGCATTTAACAGGTCGAGACAAAACAGGTGCTTCATAATACCGGCGTCACTTTAGGGCGACGGCGGCAGAACGTTTTAGAAATAAATTGACGCTGATACGAATCGCACGGGCTGGAGAAGCTAAATAACACGGATGCGTGTGTGAAAGAAGGAAAAGCAGTTAAACGGCAGTAAATTATCAAAACATGGATAACAAGTCAAAATTATGAAACATGCAATTATTCCTAAATAAATGAAAAGCCAGGGGAAGAACATACGTATTACATACTCGTGCTGCGTAAAGGTAAGCGGCCATTTACATTGAATGTTTCATGTTAGAAAAAAGTAAATAAAGAAGTTCTCGTAAAGCGCACATAACGAGAGTAATGCATATCGTTATAATAAATATCAGGCCCAGACAAAGTCAGTTTCAACTTCCAAGCGGACAGGGGCTGACGAGTGCAGCAGAGTCTCGATAGTATTGCGCCGTATGTCATACCTACTGGGTTATAAATGTCACTTAGCGTCCGATAATTTAGCATTTTTCCTCCAGTGATGCTATGATCGTCACTTAAAAAGGTACGATAACGGTGGAATAATTTAAAATGATGTGTCAAAATGCCTAGGCACTGATATTCGCACCAACAAAATGTCATTTTGTAAGAGCGAGCTTTTCAGAGACAATTGAATTCATATTCGTTGGCTTCACGGGGAGGGCAATTCACCCGATAAATTTGACTCACCTTTGTGCGTGCCATTCCGTCGCCGGAGAGTCTCCGGTGGCCGGAATCCCTGCTAAACCTGCAGCTCTGTCCGGGCGCCCGGTCCTCTGCCGCTCTGAAAACCTGCCGCTCTGTCAGCCGTCGCGGTGCCCACTGCCTCAACTCCTCACCGCCCGCCTGCAGACTGACCGCGGTGTGGGTACGGCCGCCAGAGCGCCTTTCACTCCGCCCCCTGGACCCCCGGCCCCCTCCTAAGGGGGGACGGGGGTCGCCCGGATGCAGGACCTGGTCTGAGGTTGATCTCCCTCCAGTCACGCACGGACTCAGGGATCAGAGAAGAAGCGATGGCGAGAAGAGATAACAGGCTGGTTTGGTCTCAGATTCGCTTTTTATGGATATCAATGATATCCATGTCTCAGAAATATGTCTAAGCGTGTAAGACTGGCTGGTCTACGGGCGGCCGTTACCAGAATCTTGGTTAAGCTCTCCAATGGCCATCATATATAGACGTATGTACGAGCGGTAGATCTTCCTGGAGTTCTCGTGTGGCGCGCACGTCAGACTAGGTCCTCTATAGAAATATGGTGGAGTAAATGCATGATCAAAATACATCCAGTAAAGAAAATGTTAATGAAATAGTTTTCAAAGAAGCACACATAACTTACCAACCAGGGCATAGCGAACACTCAAATTTGTAGCACCTACTGTGTAACAAAAAATACGATGAAGCTGAAAAAATCAAGTTTAACTGGATGTATGAATAGCGCAGCGTTTGAATTGCGTTTGACAAATACATTTACATGCATGTGTCCTAGCCAAATTTCATCAAATGCAAGAGCATGGATTTGCTTGTAATAAAAAAGCGTTTAACACTAGATTATTGGAGATTCATGCAATACCTATACGTAAATAGCTCAGTGGCGGCGGATTCGATTTTGGCGTGGGGGGGCAAGATCCCAGTCGAGATGATGTCATAGGCGGATCCAGAAAGGCGTTTTCGACGCTGTAGGGGACATACCCCCCCCCCCAAGTGTCCAAAATCCAAAAACTTCTCGGATTTCGATTCGTTACGGACCTACTGCTGAACAGCATAAAGCAAAAAACATTTTGATAAAAGTTTTATTATTAGGAAACATAAGGTACGTTTTGATTTCGGGCGATGCAAGGGGAGGGGGAGTAAATGTTTGCTTTATATGCCCGCTCCCTGGATCTGCCAGTGGACGATGTAACGATTTTGGCATTGCTGTATTAGAAAAAAGATCCAATGGGAAAAATTGTGCCATAGCCCATAACCCGATCGCAAATCAGATTTGAAGAACGGTGCCAAACCTTTTGAAGTAGGTGAGCGCTATTCTTCAATGAGGTAACTCGTTACCATTTCCTCTGTTCATTTTACGTTCGATTTCCGTTTAACCTTCCTTTAAAAAGTATTTCTGAGACAGATATCAACTGAAACTAGCTAACAGCGGGAGGAGACCGCTCAAACATTCAGAGACAGTCGGTCGCATCTAAACCTATTGGGACAGCAATCCGCCAGAAACCCACCCCAAGGCAGTAGTTCGCCAACTAAGCTCACCGAGACGGGCTGTCTCGATGGGTTTATCCTACAGTTAAGCCTACAGCAAGGCTTAACTAAGGCCCAAACGCTCGTCAAGCTGGGAACGGAGGGCTGAGGTGAGGGAGTCGAGCGGCGGACTAGGGTAAAGGAATTCGGTGGACTGGATGCAGAAGCTCTGGGGGGGGGGGGGGCGTTTCTTTATTAGGACTTTAGGGTGCGCTGACTGCGGTAAGGTTCAAATTATCACACCAAATTTTGCCACGACATCTACCGGTTCAGGCACTCGAGAATCAGCGGCCAGTGATATCTGCAAAGACGAAGCATTTCCAACCCAGCTTCAGCCTAGTGTGGGCGCCTCAGGTGGCTTTAATTACAGTTGCACATACCAAACGACCTCAGTGCAGCCAGTCTGTCGCCGAAACCATTCGGAACAGACTTCAACGAAAAGTGAGACAAGGTTAGTGCTATCGTTAAGTGCCATTATAGACTTGGACCCCGTTGGCTTGACCCACTGAAAGGTGGTAGTTATCCGACGCTGCGGGGCATACTCATTTTTCCAAAATGCCTTAGATTTTGCTTTCGTGTTCGATGCTCTGTATTCTATAGCCAGCCTTTAGCCAGAGGGGGCCCCACTAATGATCAGTGCCCTAACCCTCAAAGGTTTCCAACGTTAATTTTTACTTATTTAATAGTGAATACTGAAATAAAGCGGATACTGAACTGTGAACATCCAGTTTTTAGACTGGCCCCACACAAGCCTCCGAATGCCCAAAGCAGATCTCTGATGACTGGCCTTCGGGTGTCATACCGTGCATTGGTCAATGTGGTCAATGTGTAAGACCTCGGCGTTTACCATTTTACTTGCACTGGAAACTGTTGCGCTCGAAAAAAAAATCAGGGGAGTGGCTTATTACGAGCGCTCATCAGTCCTAACTACCCGCAAGCGAATGGCTAGCCCTTCCGTCTCCGCTCGCTTGCGATTTGGCATTCATGTAGGTACAAAATAGCGGTAAACGACCACTGAGGGTGTGAGTTGCGTCTCTTTGCACACTTAAAATATCTCTAAATCGAATCTGAAAAGACAAAAAAATGCTATAAAGCGGAAATGGTTAGCATTTACACATATTCAAAAGGCACCGTTGGACAATCTGTAGGAGCGCATAGCTGCAATATCAGGCTATGGACATTTTCCTCATGTTTAGGGCACAAATTATGGAGAGGCAAGAATATACGTTTGTCCCTTCTCCAGAAAGGGAACGATGCCTCCTCTGCCGCTCCGTATCCGTCGCCCCTGTAAGCGGTCACTGAAGGCCTGGGTTGCCGCTGCGTCACGTTGACGCTTATAATGTCTCCAAAACTAGGTTGAAGAGAGGAAAACTTGAATTGAACGCAAACACTTGTCATTTAAGAAAGGCAACGTATGATAAAGTATATGGGCATCTGGTTACATCTTCAGATGATCGAACAGAATAATCAGGTATATGTTTCTTGTCTAAGTTTTGTCACAAATTATGGGGGGGCAAAAAGATACTTTTGCCCCCCCCACGAGTTTGCCAGGGGGGCAGCTGCCCCCCCTGCCCCCCCGAATCCGCCGCCCCTGAAATAGCTATTCAAGGTTTGCTTCCAGAGAGCTGCGGCCCGAAGATGGGTTCTGCTTGCATGAAAGGGTCTCGAAAAGCTATAAAAACACAATTTTTTATTCATTTATTCGCCATGATCAACAATATATGAATTATCCACTTACAGGTAAATTCACGGAAGGAAAATACCATCATTAGGACAGTAGCGGCGGAACACTTTCAATTAACCCGCGCCCCGTAGGGCTACCGGCGGACCCTACCACCCGTAGGGGGGGCCGTTTCGGCCCCCCCTAAGATCTCGGAAAGTTACCGGCCGATTTTCAAAATTCAAACGGCGTTTGATAGTCCTACCCGGGAACTACCTTGTGACCAAATTTCATTGACCTAGGTCAAACCGATGACGTCACAGGTCAGGTCAAAGGTCAGATTTTCACCGTTCACAGGCAATTCAAGAAATGTGCTGTGAAATCGAGTAAATTGGTAATTTATTGAAAACCATCGATGGTATATTGTTCGTCAAACACATACTTTGCTATCTGAGGTCACTGATACCAGGTCAGGTCACAGCGAGGTCAGGTCACCGGGGGTCACAATATGAATGTGTCGTGTGATACATGTTTTATGGTCCATTTTACATGACAAATGCGATTATGTGGGTTAGGCAGCCTTTGGGGCCAGCCTAGGTCACGTTTTGGTGAAGGTCAGGTCAAGGTCAGGTCAAATTAGGTCAAATTTCAAAGTTGATATTTTTGCATAAAATGGGTATTCATTCGATGCAGCTCGTCACGGGGAGTCTAATGGTGGTCTTTGTTTTGCTCTACGAGTTCTAGAATTGCCAAAAATTGAGTTTGAAAATTTGACGTCATCATTTTTGAACAGTTTTTTCGCTATAACTTGGCCAAAAAACGAGATATCGATCTGAAATTTGGTATGTAGATAGAAGACGGTAGGTACTATCACATATATTCCGTTTTTTTTCGAAACTCAAAAAACTTTTTGGATTTTTTGGCTAATATATCCAAAAAAATGCTTTTTGACTTTTTGGGGATCAAAACTCAAAAATTTCAAAAATCTGAGATAGCAGTTTTGTAGCCCTGTCAATTCTACACCTTTTATGTCTGATCATTTTTCTGTATCTTCAAAGCTGTAGGCCTGACAGGTCTTCTCGCGAAGGTCTTTTTTCGGTCGAAAATGACAGAACATGACGTCACTCTGACGTCATTTGTGGCCAACCTATTACAGCCTCTGGAAAAAGTTTTGGTCACAATGTGTAAAATTGATGCCCGGAGGGGTCCTGAAAGTTTGGTGGCGATATCTCCAGCCGTTTAGGAGATATCGACCGAAAAGGACAGGGGGGCCGTTTCGCCCCCCCCCCCTACGGGGCGCGGGTTAAGGGGGGGGGGGGGGGTACTGCTGACTTATGGTCCCATTCTTTCCTTGCAACGCCCATAGGGCTAATGTTAAAATGCGAAAATCAAAGGGTGCACGGTGCCCCAGTGCTCTCCCCGTTCCGCCGCCTATGCATTGGGACACGTGCTACACACGCCTGTTATAACAAAACATTACATAACCCAAGCGGCACAAATACGATTTATTTATTTTAGGTGCTCAAACGAAACAAAATTTCGGGCTGTACGCATCTGAAGGAGTGAAACGGGCATGGTTGTCACGAAATGCATTTATCAACAAGAGAATGGGAAAGTTAGGCTATATGCTTGTTGAATTGCAAGTCACTGGTATCACACGAATGCATAGTGTTGTGATTGTAACCTAAATGGGTCGTTTGCTCGTTTGCCTCCAAATACCTAGTTACGGAGCGAGCGAAGCGAGCGTAGTCTTTCCTTAGATTAACGGAAATTTCTGAGTATGAGCGGCCGGCCGGCCGGCCGTGGTCACGCTTTTGCGAGGCTTATATCTCAGCAACCACTTGACCGATTTACATGCGGTAATTTTTGTAGGGTAGCTTCATTCCTTCTACCAAGTATTGCACTATTCCCGATGCATGTGGGTGACCCCTT